TCTGATCTGCCACCACACCATGACCTTCTGCTGTCAGTCTGCCTGTGCAGCAGTGAGACCAGCTGCAGGGTGCTGGTCTCGTCTCTAAGCTGATGTTTCCTCTGAGCCTCACAGCTTCACTGTTGTCCAGGAAACCATTCAGTCCCACATGTTCCTTCCTCGCCGTAGGTTCTGTACCTCAGTCCGACTCTCTGGAGACTCTCTGACTCTACTGAAGAGAGGAACGGCGGCGTTACCTGAGCGTGTCGGCGTCTCCCGGCTCGCTGCAGGTGGAGCGTCTGGAGGGGGAGGCTGGCGAGGAGGACGAGGAGGCTGGAGGTGAGACGGAGGACCGGTTGGATGCATGTGAGGAGCAGGAGGAGGAGGAGGAGGTTCTGGTGGAGTCCAGGACTCTGGGCAGCAGCAGGGAGGACGGCATGCACAGCCACGTCTCCAGGTCGGAGAACTTGGAGCAGCTCAGCATCTCCAGGACGCTGCAGGAAGCAAAGAGACGGCAGATCCTTTACAGCTGTGGCAGCTAATGAGTACATTAATACTTCCTCCTGTGATTTTGTTAGATATTATCTGTACTTTAACAAAACTCAGGAAATCTGTAATTAACAGTTTAAAGAAAAATACATTTTTTTTAAAATACGTGATTCTTATTTAGAATAACTGCAGATAATAATACTTTTATGCTGATTTAAAAACAGTAAATATTGTGTAATTTTACAGGAAAACACTGTAAAAGAAACGACGTACTATTTATTAAAATACTGATTTTTGATGTGAACATTACTTTCTGGTTTCTTTATGGCAGGGGGGTCCAATCCTGGTCCTGGAGGGCCGCAATCCTGCATGTTCTAGATGTTTCCAACACACCTGATTCAAATGATCAGCTCATCATCAAGCTCTGCAGAAGTCTGATAACGATCCTGATCATTTGAATCAGGTGTGTTGGAAGAAGGAAACATCTAAAACATGCAGGACTGTGACCCTCCAGGACCGTGGCCCTCCAGGACCGGATGTCGACACCCCTGCTTTATGGTCAACATGTTCAGGTTAGTTTTACTGAGACCTGCAGCTACATGTGGTTCCAAAAACATGAACGGTTCACTTCTGCATTATCAGTTTGTTGTTTTTAATTCATATTTCATCTCAGCAATAATCAGACATTATTGATCTAGTTGAGTTACAGGTTCTGAATCAGTGACACGATGAGAAACACCAGAGAACACTTCAGGTTTTTATCTTTAATAGTTCCTCAGATGCTGTTGTTCAAACAGCCTCAAATTTCAACAGGAGAAAACCTGCAGCAGGCAGATTAAATATATATATATATATATACCTGAGTGAGTATTTGATTTATTGAGCTAAAATGTCACAGTGATCGTTACAAATAGTCACATTTTCTGGATTGAAACTGCAGAGATGGACAAGCAATTGTCCTTAACATCTGATGAACCGGGACGGAGTGACCCAGAGTTCTGTTCCAGCAAAAACACAAATAACCAGACAACAGGTCTGACGGTGAAGCTGTTTGTACGTCCAGGCCGGTCCTGGTCTTTCCACCCACCTCTCCTCTCCCACTCCTGGGATGTCATCTTTCTCGTCAGCGGTCTGGAAGACGCAGGACGTCCTGGAGTCTCGCGATGACAACAAAACACAGGAGTTTTCAGAATCCACGGACATCTTCAGCCATATCTGAGGGACGCCAGGACACGGATCAGAAAACTGAGCTCCGACATGCAGGAGCTTCAACGCACACGGCTGTCGGGTTTATTGTACAGCAAAGACGACGTCTGTCACATGCTGCCGCCATCGTCACACGGGTTGCGTTCACTTAAAAACCTGATTTCTACGAACAGAAACTTTTCAAATCGCCTAAAATCTCCACAAGTCTGCAGATGCTTGGTATCAGTTGCACAAAACTCTGCTTTCTACATCGATTATTTTCTCAATTCATCTTCTAGTCTTTAAAATGTCAACAACAAAAAAGACAACTGTATTTACAATTTTTCAAACATCACAAGAGTTGGGTTTGTGTCGCTAACAGGCTAAAATCTCAGTCGTTTTGCTAATTAGCTGGTAGCAGGAGGCTAATATTAGTTTGTTTGTTAGTTCACAGCCTCCAGTTGGTAGTTTTCTGCCAACATCACCTTGTTCAGTTTGTTTGTTACGTGGTATCTAGCTGGTCACCAAGTTAGCTGGTTGGTGAATTGGCAGTCGGGTGGTACTTTTGTTCTGTTTGTGAGCTAGTGGTAAAAGCTGTCTGCTATTGTTAGCTTGTTTGGTTCAGTACCTGGCTGACAACTTGTTAGCTATATGATTGTTGGCTAGTACAGTTAGCCTGTTAAATAGCAGACAGAAAAGATGCTACCTTTTCTATAATTGACTTGTAATTTCATTGGTACCTGGCTGGTAAGATCAGCTTATTAGCTAACCCAAGCTAGTTAGTTAACTGCTGATATTAGTTTGTTAATTAGCCTGTAGCTGGTAACATTAGCTTGTCAATTAGGCCACAACTGGTAATTTTACCTTGTTTATATGTCAGTGACTGGTAGCATTAGCTTGTGGCTAACCCCAGGTGTTTAATTAGTTGGCTGCAGATATTAGAAAACTAATTAGACAGTAGTTGGTAGCATTAACTTTCTAATTGGTCAGGAGCTGGTAGCTTTGGCTTGTTGATTCGACCCTAGTTGATAATATTGGCTTGTTACTTAGGCTGTATCTCATGCCATTGGCTTGCTAATTAGTCAGTAGCTGGTAGCATTACAACGTCAGCTACCTCCAGCTGGTGGTTAGTTGGTTGGTGAATTGGTAGTTGGCTGGTACTTTTGTTTAGTTTGCAAGCTAATGTTGAAAGCTGTCTGCTATCGTTAGCTTATTTGGTTCAGTAACTGGCTGACAACTTGTTAGCTAGATGGTTAGTAAATGGGTAGCTGGCTAGTACAGTTAGCATGTTACGTAGCAGACAGAAAAGATGATACCTTGCTCTTTTCTATAATTCACTTGTAGTTTCATCGGTAGCTGGCTGGTAAGATTATCTTGTTAGCTTACCCCAATATTAGTTAGGAAATTAGTCTGTAGCTGGTAACATTAGCTTGTCAATTAGACCATAACTGGCATAACTGGTAATTTTACCTTGTTTATATGTCAGTGACTAGTAGCATTAGCTTGTGACTAACCCTAGGTGTTTAGTTAGTTGGCTGCAGATATTAGATAACTAATTAGACAGTAGTTGGTAGCATTAGCTTGTTAATTGGCCAGGAGCTGGTAGCTTTAGCTTGTTGATTCAACAGTAGTTGCTAACATTGGCTTGTTAATTAGCGTGTATCTCGTGTCATTAACTCACTAATTAGTGAGTAGCTGGCAACATTACAGTGTCAGCTACCTCCTGCTGGTTGGTTACCTGTCGGCTAATATTACCTTGCTAATTAGTCAGTGGCTAGTGACATTAGCTTGTTAGCAAAACCTCAGCTGATTAATTGATTGGCTGCTGTTAGCTTGTTAAGTTGGTAACATTAGCTTGTTAGTTAGTTACCTAGCTGTGACATCTCCATGCTAACTGTGTGCTAGTGAGTAGAAACAACATTAGCCGGCGGTTTTAAGCTAGCGGTCGAGGCGCTGTTGCCATGGTAACCTGCGGGTTAAACCGCTGCCGTGGATTCTGAGTGAAACCGGAACCAAAGAAGAACTGCAGTAAATACAGAACGAACCAGATGTTCTCAGAGTTCCTGGGCAGCAGAACTCAGCGATGAGAGTTTCTGCGGCCACACGTGGCTTCTTGTTGTGGATCCTGGAAGCCGCCGGTCAGAGGCTCGGGTCGGAACCGACACAGTTCGGTTAAAGTGGACCAGAGAGCTGCAGCCTTCAGTCAGTCCGTCAGTCAGCTGTCCGTCCGTCAGTCCGATAAGAGCCAGAAACGAACCTTACCGTCGCTCAGCTGCTTCTTCTTCTGCTTCTTGTCCCGCAGCAGGAACATCTGCTGGTCCTGGAAACGTGTCTTTGTCCTGCCCCGAGTCAAACATCCCAAAATACAGGCCGGGGCTCACGTTTCACTGCGGTTCGGCCGCACAGACTGACGCCCAGCCGGAGCTCCACATCTGGAGGAGGACGGGCCTCGGTCCGCCTCGGTCCGCCTCCCAGCGGCCCTGTGGGGCGGAGAGGACCCGGGACCGCCCGCTGCTCCGGGGACAGCCAGCCCGACGGAGGGAGGTGATCTCTGGAAACACTTGATCCTCTTTAGATGTGTGCTGCAGGAGAGAAGCTGGAGGATCAGACCCCACGTGGAACAAAGAGGAATAAAGAATAAAGAGGAATAAAGAATAAAGAGGAATAAACCAGTCAGAGATGAAACTATAGAGAATGAAAGAGCAAAGAAGGACAGACCTGAACCATGAGCACTGCTGCTGGAGCAAGGAGGAGAAAGAGAGCAAGAAATTATGTGAAAAATACTCT